CCTCACTAGCTATTACTGCCTCAGTCCACCTTAGCACACAAGAAGGATTTGAATCCCTGCGAGCGGCTGCGCTTTAGCGTCTGATAATCTTACGTATTGTACAACCATAATGTACGTTTGGGCTCCGCCCGTTCGTAGTCTTTTCAACTAAAACGTTTAGTGCGCTTATGGCAATCATGCATAGCGTATAAGGTTTGCGCACAGACAAGACCTATCCCCTTTTTAAGACTTTCATTTAAATCATTAACCGCTGCGACGTCTAAGGTACTTAATTATATCGTAGTCCAATTTTCTCAACTGATATTTCCTGCTCAGTCTACTTTAGTATGCATGTGTAGGGTATAGAATGCTTCACATATTCCTTGTAACTTCCTTGTAACTTCCTATTCTATCTTTTGTCTATTTTTATACATTTGTTATAACACACGACGGGATATATACTTATCTTCGTATTTCGTACGTCTTCTGGTTTCGGTGAGTTTGTGCCGCCTGCGAGTGTGTTGGGTGCTTCGGAACAGTCTTCGACCTCTATTTACGATCAGCGTTCGATCCCTCTGTTCGTGTCATCGGACGAGTTTGCTGCTTTTTACTTATTTTAACCTGACCGTGAGCAATCGTGCTTAGGTCCTATTCGCAGCCGTTATACCCCTGTCAGACACTATACATTCTTCCTGTTTTCTGTCCCTTCTTCCTTCAATCTTTTCTATTAGCTCTCTTCTGCTGACGTGACTCCCACAGCCAACTTACTCTGTGCTTGCAGTCTTCTTGTCTGCTTTCCTTGCCTCATTTAACCGTGATTAGCTCTTTTCTGACTACCTTCCTTATCATGTCAGCGCAGTGACGCCCCTTGCTAGATACCTGGCTGTAATTTACTTCTCTGTAACACCTAACTAATTGTAGTTCAGCTTTCTTACCGGCTTTTTCCATTAGCACACTAGCATAATTAAATAATTAAATCTTTTATTCTCAACAAGGTGAGGCACGACTTTACAGGCATGATGGTTTTGACATAACGATGCATGATCAAGAATGTGCAAAACTCCGATATGTTTGCCATAGCAGTTTGCGATCGTGTAGGGGGTATGTATGTATGTCATTGTGTGTGTATGTGTATGTAGCTGTGTATTATTTGCTGCTCCAATGTTCAATGTTTGATATTGTAATCAATATAGGAGTAAGAGATTGGTGTCCGTGGGTTGTAGAGAATTATCCGGATATCTACGGAGCATAGACTTTATTTAATGGCGAGTAACGACCTCCACG